GGAAGGAAGGAAGGAAGGAAGGAAGGAAGGAAGGAAGGAAGGAAGGAAGAAGGAAGGAAAAGAAAGAGGATTCCAGATATGCACTCCAAGAGGAATAAACATTAGAGGCCATCTGGTCTGACTGCTTTATTTTACGGATGCCCAATCTAAAGTCTAGAGAGAAGTTATGTGATTTCCCCCAAGGTCCCACCATCAGTGGAAGAAGTAGGATTTGGGCTTAATTCCCATGATCTTTACCTGTCTCTTGTTTTGAGTTAAGATTGAGGTAAGATGGTGGGAGGAGTGCAGGGAAGGCTCAATGGAGACCAAGAAAAGAGAGTTTTTGCCTTGGAGTCAGAAAGACCTAGATTCAAATCCTGATTCACACATTAAGCTATGGGATTCTGGGTAAATTCCATCACCTCTCTAGAACTCGTTTTCCTCATCCTGAAATGAGAGGGCTACACTAGATGACCTCTAAGGTCCCCCCCAACTCTATTCTGGGGTCCTGGGGTCCTAGGTAAAGATGAAGGTGGGACAATCTGTCCCAAGGAAGTATATGAGCAAAAGTTCAGAGGGACCAGTAGAGGGCTGCACAAGAAATGGAGACCAGGAACAGTACAATTTGACCAGAAATAAAATATGTGAGAGAAGGTGGCTTGCAGTCAGAGTGTGGATGGCCCAACATTCCAGGACTGAGAGCCTGTATTTTATTTCCTAGGCAATAAGAAGCATGGATGGCTGACTAGTAGAGGAGTCAGGAGACTGGGAGGGGCAGTGAATGATGAGAAGAGAGTTGAAGGAGCAGATGAAGATCCCCTAGTCTGATGGGGGAGATGTAGTCGTTGTCCTGAGGATGATCCAGAAGGAGAGAGCCCCATCCTCTAAGAGGCTGAGTGTCCTGATGAGATCCTACCTTTCAGGAAACCTGGAGATCTGATAGAGTTGAGAAAGAACATGCACAGAGAAATAAAGACTGAGCCAGAACCATAGATACTAGTGCTGGGATAGGAAGAGGAAGGCGCCGGGTGGAACAAAGTGACCAGGAGGTCTGACCATCATTGGGTCCAGTGTTCAGGACCTTTGGTTCCCTGGACCTCCCCCCCCCAGGTAGAATGAACAAGGAAAGGTGATATCCTCTCCACATCCACCTCCTCAACCACTTGGCCCCAGGGTTCACACACAGCCTCACTCAGACCCAGCCAAACCAGCTTCTTTCTGATCACAGCCCCCCTCCCTGATGTGATGCAGTTTACTGTCAACAGCTAGGGAAGGGGCTGTCCTGATGCTGAGTCCAGGTCAGTGCTTTTCTACCCCCAGGAGAAGCCAAGGGACATTCTCCTTCCTTGTCCCATATCTGACACAGTGATGACATTCCTAGGGTCTAGCAGGGCCTGGTGTGGCTAATAGTGGGGTGAGCATGGCCATGACCCATGGGGAAGTGGCATTAAAGTATACCACACAGATTACTAACAACTTGTATTTATGTAGCAGTTAAGGTTTCAAGAGGGCTTTCCTCATGGCACCTCTATGAGATGGGAAGCAAAATTCTTATCCCCATTATTTTTCGGTCTGGACATGTGGTTTCATTGGTGTACGCAACTCATTACCCACGCAAGGCAACTCGGCAAGTGTTCTGTCATTTAGCTGCCCGTGACATTAAATGATTTGCTCAATGTCACCTACATCTATTAGGTGTCAGAGAAAGGACTTGACCTCAGGTCTTCTTGACTCCAAGACTGGCTCTCCATGCGCCATATGATACTGACTTTCCCCTCTCCCCTCTCCCTTCTCCTCTTTCCCATTAGATGTGAATTCCTTTTTTTGTTTGTTTTGGGCTTTTTGGTGGGTAGAGGTGCCCTTTTTTGTATTCCTAGTTCTCAGCCAAGTGTCTGGCACAAAGTAGGTATTTAATCAATGCTTGACAAAACAAAAACTGAGTCTTAGAGAGAGGAATAACTTGCCCATGTTCACCTAGCTAGTGTGTGGCTGAGCTGTGATTTGAACCCAGATCTCCTGACTCCAGATACAATTTTTTCCATTATACCACACTTTGTTCAGTTGTTTTCAGTCATGTTCAACTCTTCAGGACCCCATTTGGAGCTTTCTTGGTAAAGATACTGGAATGGTTTGCCATTTCCTTCTCCAGCTCATTTTACAGATGAGGAAATAAAAGCAAAACAGCTAGTAAACGTTTGAGGTCACATTTGAACTCAGGTCTTCCTGACTCCAGACCTGGCCCTTTATCCACTGCAGGGCCACCTAGCTGTCCCTCCTGGTATTGTCAATCTCATGTCAGCCATCGTTGCCTACCACAAGAGCAACAGCTGCACTCCTGCCTCCTTTATGATAATGTGGTCTTGGAACAATCCATAAAGTAATGGTTGTAACCAACACTCCAGAAGAGAGCTGCTTTGTGCCAGAACACTGGGGAGGCACTGCCCAGGATGCAGCTAGCTGGAAGACCCCAACTTTGATTAGGTAGGGTTCTCAAATGGCCTTTGGCTTTTGTTTTCAGTTTTTTTCTTACCTGGTATGGCCAGTATTTTATGAAACTTTTATCATGGAAAATCTCTTCTTCACGGCACAGTTCAAATTTGAAGCCGGACACTTGGATTCAAATCCTAGCTCTGCCTGTGATGACCTGTGTGACCTTGGGCATGACACTAAAGTTCCCTAGACCCCAGTGTCTTCATGGAGGGTTGGGCCATGTGATCTTCAAAGGCATTCCAGCTTGAGATCTCAGGTGCTATGGTATCTTGTACCGTGATTGTTGCGGGGATTAAGTCTTGATTTTGTCAAACTGACCCTTGTTCCTCAGTTAACTCTAGCCCTCTAAGCACCAGGTAATGGAATGAGCCCTTGATTTGGAATCAGAGATCCTGCATTTGAACCTCCCTTCTAACATTTACCATC